CCTCCCGGTTTCAAGCAATTCTCCTGCCTCAGCCTCCCGAGTAGCTGGGACTACAGGCTCGTGCCACCACGCCCAGCTAATTTTTGTATTTTTTAAATTGCATTTTAGGTTTTGGGGTACATGTGAAGAACATGCAAGATTGTTGCATAGGTACCCATGCTATCTCTCCCCAACTCCCCACCCCCCGCTGTCCCTCCCCTATTTCTCCCCAACAGACCCCAATTTTTTTGTATTTTTTTTTTAGTAGAGACGGGGTTTCACCATGTTGGCCAGGATGGTCTCGATCTCTTGACCTCGTGATCCGCCCGCCTCGGCCTCCCAAAGTGGAGAATGCTTATTTGAACATATACCCCAAACATTGTTTCCCTACCTTCCAGAAAATGCCTCTTTGGAAGGATTTAAGACAGTCTGATGTTTCTGCAAACATGTCTGCTTTAGGAGCCATCTTGCCCTTCTCAGCGTTCACCTGGGATGTATTTATTCTTCCATTTAACCTTTACAGGCGACCACGATGGTGGCGTGTCCTTCCATGGGGCCATTACCTCTCACAGGGATCCTCGTGTCTGGTAGAAAACAACCGCTCCAAGTTCTCTGCATCCTAACTTCACCAGGACACGCAGATAAACCTATTTAAAAAAAAAAAATCTTTTTAAATTCTCAACTTGGCAGTGTAAATAAGGCTCTTGCAACGCCCTCAGGTAATAACCACGGGGAGTCATCACGGTAAGAAGGATGGTAGAGCTGGGCGCCTTACTCAAAGCCAAGGCGTTCGCAATCTCTGGGGCCCGGCTGCTGTGCCTGGGCGTGTGCACCGTGCACTCCGAAGCGGTGTGCGGCGGTGGCCTTGGAGGTGCCCGTGGCCTTAGGAGATCCCGGGGCCCGGCGCCCTCCGCTCCGCACCGGGCCGCGTCCCCGGCCTGGGAGCGGAGCAGCGCGGCTCTGGCATGCTAAGTGGGCAGCTCTGGGGCGCCTTTGTTCCTCGCGGCCGTCTCCCAGGGCCGGCTTCCCTCTGAATCTAAATGGGCTTCTCCTGCACCCGCGCCGCCCTGGCCCCCTGGCCTGGGCACTGCGCCCCTCGGTGATGCGCGCCCGGGCACCTGGGGCGTGGGCGCGCGGGGGCAGCCCGGGCCAGGCGAGCGCGGGAGGGGCGCCTGTGGTCCCTGCGCGGGCCCGAGGGGGCGCCCCGGCCTCTGCCCCGCCAGTCGGCGGCGCCCAACCTGGGGGTCCCGCCGCCCGCAGCCGCAAGTCTCGCGGTGCTACCGCTCTGACCGGGGAGCCGCGGGCCGGGCGCCCCCCGCCGCGCGACAAAGGCTGAACTGTGAGGAGGCGGCCGAGGAGGGGGAGGCGGAGGCGGGGCAGGCGGGGACGGCGGGCGGCCGCGGCGGCGGGGAGCGCGGAGGGAGCGCCCTCCTTTGTGTGGCGGCGGCGCCTGGGCCTGACCGGGTCCCCGGGGCTGCGCCCGGCTCCGCGCCGCCCCTCCCGCGCCCCTGGCGGCGCGCGCCGATCCTCTCCGAGCAAGATGGCAACCCCGGCGGCGGTCAACCCTCCGGGTGAGTAGCGGCCTGGGCCCCGCCGCCCGCCGCAGCCCGCAGGCCCTGCCTGGGGCCGGAGCGGACCGGGGCGCGGAGCCGCAGCTCGGCGCGGTGGGTGGCGGAGCGGCTGTCAGCGCGCGGCGGCCGCAGCATCAGCATCAGCACCAGCACCGGAGCGGCGTCTGCATCCCGACCCTGCCCATCCAGTCCCGGGCAGGCGCCGGTCCGGCCCCGCGGGCGGCCGCACGCTGGCCTCGCACGCTCGGGAACCCCAAGGGCCGGCCCGGGAGCCCCCAAAGTTCTGAAAATAACCACCTTTGCCTTCCCCATCCCACGCATTTTTCTCTTCCGGTCCCGGCTTTTGTGGCATCGCGGCGTCAGCCAGTCCTGGCTGGTGGAGGGCTCCGCGCTGACTGAGGGAAAAGTTTGGAGCCGGGATTCAACAGGGTCCAACTCCCGGGACTCTGCCCTGCCCGCCCCACACCCAAGCGCTGGTCCTTTGCGTCTTTTGCGACTGGCTGCTGTGTCCCAGCCCTCTAGGGGCACAAAACACCCAGCCTGTGGTCACCAGCGTGGAGCAGCCACGGTCCTGCCCAAGTGGCATCCTCTGCCTTCTGGGCTGACCTTTCCGCAGGGTGCAGCCTGTGACAACTGAGCTCATTCCTAAAGATTTCAAAAATAGACGAGTTGTGATGGAGTGGCAGCCTTGAGTTGTTTCGGTATTGTAGCAGGGAAGTTCTGTTTTTGTTGGGAAAGTTGTCTACCTGATGAGCAGGGTGTGGGAGAAGAGAAAGGTGGACATCTAAGCTGGTACAAACTTCTGGTGTTGTGCAGAGACTGCTGTGGGCATGGCAGGTTGGTAGTCCCTGTGGAGGATGCAGGGAGAGTCACAGAGTGTGGCCCCCAGGAAATTCCCAGCAGAGGGAGGTCATGTGTTGGAGATGGGGAGAGTGGAAGGAGGAACATCAATGCCTCGCAAAGGAAAGCATCTGTCATCATAGGGTTAAGAATGAAAGATCCTTTTCATCGAAGGGGGCCAGGGACGGGTTTTGGAGATTGGACGTTTTGCCTGAACCTTGAAGACTGGAAGGTTTGAAGGTACAGAGTCAGGAGCAGAGGGGCATTGCAGGCATAAATGACAGTGGACTTGTTCTAAGAATGTGCAGAGGTCGGTGAGTGGTTGGTGCACTGGGGTTATAAGAGGCAGCAGTGGGATTTAACATTGAGTTGTTTGGATGTGGCCAGGCTTTAAAGGACAGACTGAGGAGTGAGGACTTTCTCCACATTAAGGGAGAGTTCTCTGCATACTTCCTAAGAACCATACAATAAAATAGAAAGTAGAAAAAAGAGAGAGAGAGTCCTCAATGGTATTGAACAAGGAAATCGCATGATCACTTTTTCTGGAAGGTTGATTTGTCAGCCATGTCTAGGAAACATAGAAAGGAGGGAAGAAGACTTGGGGCAGGGAGGCCAGCATGAAATGAGGCGGGTCCTGGGGAGGCCAGACTTGGTGGCTGTGGCGGGACCAGAGAGGAAGGAATGCACAGGGGGCAGGTGGAGGAGTTTCAGTTTTGGCACTGATTAGATCTGGAGTAGCAGTAAAGGAGGAGGCCAATGAGAGGCAAAGGGAGGTGTTCATGGAGACACCAAGGTGAAGAGCCTGTGTAATTCCAAGGAAGGCAGTTCCAACCGCAGAAATAGGGACTCCTGGAAGAACAGACAAGGAGGCCTCTGTCCAGAACACTGAGGAGGAACATGGCTGGTCTGAAAACACATCTGTGTCGTTTTGCTGAAACTGAAGCTGCCATTTCAACCCATTCAACTAATTCAAAATCAATAGAAAGTTGGAAGATTTAAATGTTATGAAATTAGAGAAAGCAAAAGAAGTTAAATGAAGATCCTTTAGTCCAACATAGCTTTACATTCGGAACAGGAGTAAAATCCCTGACGATTTACGTAATTTCCATGCCAGGACATGATTGTTTAAAACTGTTTTGTCCATTACATTTCTTCATGAGCTAGGTGGACTAAAGATGGAGTCGCTGCCCCTGGCCCAGTGGTGTGGAGCACAGGAGGGCCTGTGCCCGTGCCTTGGACTGCGGCATACGTGAATGGTGCAAGCGCGGGGGATTGTTTGCGTTGTTAGTCAACACCTGGCCAGCTTGGCAGATGCTTTTCTCTGTTGACAGAGACACCAGGGATCTTGAGCATGGTGGTAATTTCTCAAGTGAAACTTCCTTGCGGTGATCACCTTTGCTATTACCCACTATCTTTTTTTTTTGCTGGTCTCCTGAGGATGATTCATGGGGAGGTGTTATTCTTGCTGCATGTGAATCTCTATCTTCTTCGGGAGAAAGGGTTTGATCTCTTAAAGGGAGATGGCTCAGAGTTTGAGCCAAAGAGAGAGATTTCAGATTCTGTGGGCAATTTACTACAAAAAGAGCCAGGGCACCCAAGCTTGTCATCCACAGCCTACCTCACATGGGCAAGGGCCTTGTGATATGTCTTTGAATTCCTTTTTCTGCCTCCCTCCTCCCCCCAGATATGGTTGCTTTGCAAAGAATAAGATATTGGTAAACAGAGCAAATGGACTGGGAAGCACCAGGATTTATTTCTGTTGCTAGTCTGTGTCCAGGGTACAAAGGCCACAGCCAGTCACCTCCGCATCCTCTCCCACCTGTTCCTCTTTTCCCAGCTGACCACTTCACAACAGCAGAACCGTTTGCGATGACACTCCTCTGTGATGTGTAGTGGGAATTCTCTAGGGCCTTGTTGGTGACAGGTGATGTTGGGGTCTTCACCGACATCTGTTGATATAATCCAGGCCCAAATTTTGAATCTGCTCCTTCAAGGTCCCCTGTTTGGGTTTCTACCAGTTACTCTGGGAGAGCAGAAAGAAGGATTGGGCTCCCGGATATTCTCCTCATGATTTCTGCTATGACAGTCCTGACTATATTTCTCATATCCTGTGGTCCTGGGTATCCCCTACTTCTGGATCATTTCCAATTTCCTTACATTGGTCACTGAAACTGTTGTATTGGCTGATTTTCTGTATTCTCTCTGGCCAGAAATGACATAAATCCTTTAGATTAGAGAGTGGTGTCATAGAATCTTCGTGTGTGTGTGTGTGTGTGTGTGTGTGTGTGTGTGCGCCTATTATTTGTTTTGCTACCTTTTTGAATGGCATTTAAGTATTTCTGATTTATAGGAAATAGTGAAGGTTTGAATGGGTTATATGCATGAAAGGGTATTTTAGCATTGTGCCAGTGGCACAATTAAGAAGGAGATTGTTTCACCAATGTCATTGTTCCATCTTCATCTTTTGTAATTTAAGCATGAGGAAATCAGCTACAAATTCAGTCCAATAATCATTAGGAATTAGGCAGTATGTGGACAGTCTCTGAGATGAGTATTTGCAGAATAATTAATAAGGCTTGCATGTTTTAAAGGATTTCAAAATTATGTCTTAAGAGATTTGGAATTCTACTTTTTCTGAAATTAATTATTGGATTTTTTTTTTCTACTTCCAGATTTCTGGTCTTTGGCATTTTAATCTAGAATGGATGGTGTAGTGCAGGAACATTCTCTGGACAAATTGCCTTAGATGGGGGGACGTTTGAATCAGTTTGTTGAACTGGTTAAATATCTTTGATAAACCAAGCTCTCTGCAGCAAATAGAGCAATGTGGAGATGAGGAAGAGTATTTCTTGACCTCAGGGAGTTCTAAGTCTAATAGGGAAGGCATGAATAGACTGACTTAATAACACCAGGTGGAATGAAATAAATGTTGACGAGGCGTATTCATATCATTATGGGGAACCAGAGAAAGTCTTATGGGAGGGAGCTTCTGAATGTGGGCCTTTTGAAGGGAGAGATTTTTGACTTACAGAAAATGTAGGAACGGTCATTTTGAGCTGATGGCTGTGGTGTGGGGCAGACAGATTTGTGAAAATATGGGACACTGTCAAGTGGTTGTTTCCTCAGTGCTCTTGGGGACTCAGTGGGATTCCCAAGAATGCAAGTAGGTTTTGAGCCTTTTGAGACGTGTGTGCTATGCTTGCAGGCTGACCTGCCTTGAGTGGGGCTGGAACAGCCAAAACAGCTGGAGGTACAATTCAGCCCAATTGCTCTATATCTTGTCCTTCGTTGAATCTAGAAGCCCATCAATTGCAGGACACATCATTATTTTATGGACTTCTAAGAAAAAAATGAGCAGATGGCCTTTTGGCTTTCATTAAAAGAAAGAAAAAACACGAAGAAGTGACATCTGAAAAAAGGTTTATTCATTTCTTCAGTATGTATTTATTTTAATTAATTAACAAACTTTGATTAATTTTTTTTAAATGTTTTTTTTTTTTTTTTTAAGAGCAGCTTAAGTTCACAGCACAATGGAAAGGAAGGCACAGAGGTTTCTCAAATATCCCCTGCCCCACACATGCACAGCCTCCGCCATGATCAGCATCCCCCAGCAGAATAGTACATGTGTTACAATTGATGAACCTACAGTGACACATCCTTATCACCCAAAGTCCATAGTTCACATGAGGATTCACTCTTGGTGGTATTTGTTCTGTGGGTTGGAG